CGATAAAGAATATATTGAGTTTTATGATTGTGAACGTGAAATGAACGATGAACTCTTCGATCAATATAAGGTGAGAGTTTTTGACGATTTTCGATTGAGGGAATATTTATTGTTGGATTTGCATTTTGTTATTATTTGGAAAAGAATGGTTCTGAGCAAAACTTATATGGAAATCAATATTGTTTGAATTTTTATTGGACTTACGATTGGTCATTTTTTGTTAAATATTTTATGGTTTCGTTAGATTTGTAGGTTTTGGTTTGTTGTTATTGTTAGTAATATTATGATATTAATATCATGGTATTGTGATGATAATAATAATTATTATTTATTAATTATGGTTTAATTATTATAATGCTTTCTATTTGGATTATTATTATTAATTATTTATTTATTAATTATTGTGTTACAATTGTTGATAAGTAATGTCTAGTTTTAGCTTTATATTTGAACGATGCCATTGATTTGATTCATTATTTTGAAGGCTTTGATTTTGATTTAGATTGTTGAACGTATTATTGCGCATCAAGTATCGCGTGAAAAAGGTGAAGTGGAAGGTACGGAATACTATGTGAAGTGGTCTGGTTTGCCGTATTCGGACTGTACATGGGAAGACGAGCATTTGATTGGCAGAAAGTATCAGGATAAGATCGATGCGTATCACGCGAGACGTGAGAATGCGAAGATACCGAATAAGAATTGTTCGGTTGGTGATGATTTGAATTGTTGTTGAGTGATTTCAACTTTTTGTGTTTGTATGTTCGGGTTAGACTGCGTTTATTTAGCAATACGGGTGGTGAAATTTGATGAGTCTGAAGCCGTTTGATAGTAATTGCGGATTTGATTACGTTTATGGATCATTGAGCCGTTTCGATCCGTTGACAATTTTCATCAGGGATAAGATTATTATTGTATAGATGAATTCATCGGTTCAGTTCGAGTTTGAGTGGAACAAACGCATCTTATTATATCTGTCACAAATGTTGTCACGGAATATTACGGGTTGT